ACTATTAACGTTATATATACTGGGTTTTACTGCTCATAATGTTTATTATCGGAAAGCATTTTTTTCAGTTATGTAAAGTTTTTGTGTGTAAGGAGCAGTGTGACAGCTTATAAAATTAAGCAAACTTATTTTGTAAATAACTTTCTATAATTTACTTTTCATGAACATAATGTGAAATTATTTTGTATTGTGATTCAGTTCAATAGGTTAAGATAAAGTAATTTTCTCTCTTTCTCATACTATATTTAAGGATATCAAGAATATTTTGTTCTAAAATGAAAACTGTGTAACTAGCAAATATAAAGTAGACGTTGTTCCTTTTGTAATCATAACAATGAAAAATTTCACTAAATATTTTTATATGTTTCATTTCATATACAATATCAACAGCAGTTATTATCAAATCTACTGACATGTTATTCTCACAAGTGATGCATGTTTTATACACTTAAATATTGAGATCGAAAAAACCATTCAAATTTCTTGCTTCCGAAAGGAACAACATGCAACAATGTGTATAAAGTTATTTGATTGAAAAACAACATCAAGTAGAAAACACAAATGACTAAAAATTACTAATGGAACGAGGGACACGCTAATAACATCATTAAATGTAATTAACGCTTAAAAAGCAACTGGTGCAGTCGGATTTACTCATGAATAAACTAAAAAAAATTACAATTGCTATTATGCACAAGACAAATCGCGAATTCAATCTGAAATGCTAATATTTTGTGCATGGCATTGGTTTGCAGGTTATTTACATTGTCTACGGATTACTGAAACGATGATGTTTCAATATAATTTGATAAATAGTGCTTTTAAATACCGGTCAACGATTAAACTGTACTGTTATCAACTTTGTAAAAAAGTAATCGTTATTTCCTTAACTGACAGCAGTGTATGTTGTGAAAACATGCAATAGTTTGTAACTTTGTACCTAGTACTCAGTAGTTATTATATTAGCTATGTATATTTATTGTCATGTTTTTTGTTATTTGTAGAACTCTATCCGGCGTCTTGAAAGCTTTTTTGAAAAGATTAGCAAGGGGCCTTCTATTGTCACAAACTAAACACACACTGCCCGTAGTGAGCATCTGTTAATTTAGAAGAAAAAATGTAATATTGAATCACAAAATCAATTTTAATAACAGTTACAAAGTTCACTAATACAAATATTTCTTAGTATTACATACATAGTCAATCTGAAATAGAAACTAATATAATATTCTGATAACTAAAAAATACCTATTTTGGCATACAGAATATTTTTGCATTCATTTAAGTCTACGTGGAATTGTCTCTAAACTCAATTGATGACAGTTATAATAAGAAAAGTAAATAATAGTATGAAAAGCTGTGAATCTGTACTTAATTGTAATCACGGAGTATCTCAGTGTATTGTTGTCTATAACGTCACTTATGCAAAATACAATAAAGTTTTAAACAACACTGTCCTTTTTCAATTATTCCTAAATAACAGTAAATGCAAAGAAATCTCTCTATTTATGTCCATACAATCTTGCATTTACTTGTTTTTGTCCTTAATAAATTGCTGGCTGGCACAGTATAATCCAGAATCACGTCTCATTTCTTCCCAGAGGCAAAAAATTGATCCAGGAAAATGTTCTCGCCACTGCTCAAGTGCTACTGTGTTCCGCGTACCGCTTTCATCTACAACTCTGCCTACGATAAGTCCACGTCAACAGTTAATTATTTAGAGGGCTTTTTGAGACACATCACAATCGGCCACGTCACTTAAGAGCAATTACCACAGCAGTCAGTATTTATATATTTTTATTATTATTGAAATGCGTGCCCAGCGTGTACCGAAGCGGCGATCAAATTATTGTTTTCTGTATGGAAATAGCTTTTCTTCCGATTTTACTATAAAAAGCGACGCATTGCACCGGAAAGGCAGGAGTGGCGCGGTAAGACTACGCATTTACGGTTTATATGAAGCGGTCTCGACGACAGTGGGAAATGAGCGACGGGCGATTGTCAAGCGTTGTGTAAACACGAAGTAAGTAGTGTATGTAATTTTCACCTTTGACGCTACTCCCCGTCATCCATAGGAAGGCTTATACATTTTTCTGACATTTACAGCACATGTGCCATGCTTTCTGGCAAAGAGATAGAGGTGGTGGTCGTGCTAGCTAGAAGCTAGGTGTTGCGGTTGATCATGGGCGGCGGTAGTCACTTAACATCAGGTGAACCGCATGCTCGTTTGCCCCTTCTTCTATAAAAAAAAGCTATTATTTGACACGACCACACCAGCTTTTAGGATATTTAGATCAATAAGTAAAGTTACAGCCTATATACGTCCCACTGCTGAGAACAGGCCTCCCCTCTTTACTGAGAGGTTTTTAGGGCAAGGAAGTGTCCAACACGCTGCCCCAATGCTTGTTGGCGAATTTCACATATCTTCGAAATATTTTTTTCTTATTCCTCATACATGGCGGTTCCTCACGATGTTTTCATTCACCGCCGAGCATGTGGTAAATCAGCACTTTTATTTAGATCAATGAAGGAATATCTTATTACACTAGATGTCGCTAGTTGACACTGAGGTGAATTTCTTATTACACATTGCCATTTAAGTGAGAAGGTTTATCACTTTCTATAGTATTATATTAATACACAAAACGATGCCTGTGGTTTTCTCTTTAATTTTTCCACAATTTTAACTCCCATTTAATTTTTTTACTTTTAGAAATACATATACGTAGTTTGGTTTATTTATTTCTAATCTAATTAATATAAAAATATAACTAATATTAGGAAAGAAACTTAAATCCTTAGTTTTCTTAACAAATTAACTTCCCCGCTATGAAATGTGTCAAATATTTCAACTCATTAAGAAAAAGAATAAAATATGAAAAATATTTTTTTTCTATTCTATGATGACGACTTTTTACGATAATGTTAATATTTTGGGAGTTATGAATTTTTCAATGTTTCAAACATCCCAAATAGATACTTTTGACTCACTAAAAACACTGGGAGATTTTTTACCGTCTGGAAAAAAATAGGGTGAAACATGTGAACGGAATGGAAGCCTATGGCTGATACTGATTTTTTTTATTTTACATTAAGATATTATGAAATAATTGATCTATCAATAACAACTAATTGGGTACATATTATTTTAATTGCCATAGTTTTTAATTGATTATTTAGTTCAAAAATGTTGTTGCTGTTAGGAATTTCTAAAATTGAGAAAAATACCGAATTCGGATACTTTTGACGCGTTAAAAATACATTTAAAAAAATATAAAAGATAGTTTTTTTTACATTCTATAAGACAATAGTTAATTATGCGAGAATTAAAATAATATTTTGTACACATTTATTTATATATTTTTACTGATTCGTAATCATAAGCATCCGAATTCCGGGGTTTTCAAACTTATGAATTCATAACTCCGATAATATTAACTTTATCGTAAAAAGTCATGGGACTTATTTTATTCGTATTTCATCAAAGAATATAAAAAATTGTCCCGTTTGAAATAACAATTCCTTGCAATTGAAAAAATAATCGGTTCACATAATATGGCATCGAGTTTCCCCATAGCAACATGCATTTATATTATCAGTAGGACTATTTGAAGATGATCACATAAAGAAATTGAGGTGGAATAGTTTTCGGTACTCATGCGCCGATTGTCCCTGGAGCCTGGACTATGAAAGGTTTCATTTAAAATAAAACACGTTCTTAGAAACATATAAATCGATAATAGATTTATGTACAAGTATTTATTAAAATATAAATCAACATATTTTTGCTTAAAATATAATTAATCACTGGTCATGTCCTTGCAGTCTTTACAAGAAAACCTTTTTTTATCTTTCCTTTTACAAAAGGTATGTAAAACAAATTAAAATATGTATTTATGATTTTAGATACGACAGTATTAAGACAAAATAAATAGGAACCATTGAAATCGAAGGAACGAGGTTTCTATTTCCAACTTAGTTACTTTTATCATGACGATAACACTTATATTAACAATTTGATACAGGAAGAAATTTTAAAACATTCTAGATTTTGTTTTCAAAAATTATACTCAAGACCAGTTAGTTAAACATTAATAACATTTTAACACCATGAATTTGGTTACTGATTCCAAATATATGTTGCATAAACATTGGATGTTAAATTACATTTTAATTATAAAGTACAGGTTTAAATCGAAAACTATAATATTATAAAGGGGATATCTGGGCAGGAAGTAATTAGAAAAATAGTATTTAACGATATATTGTTGTCACGTTGTAGAACGATAAAGATCGACAATCGAGAGTAACTGCAACTCTCAAAAATTAACAAAATCATTACCCATATTCCCCTGCTTCCTCCTCCAAAACTGGCAGATTTAATTTACCAAAACATTACATTCATACATACATATATTAATTTTGACATCTTTGATATAATGAATGTCCACAAAGTAGCGGCTGATTGTATTTATTTTGTAAAAAAATATATTTTAAGAATTATAATTATGTCTAAATGTAGTTTTTAATGCTTATTAAATTGGCTTCCTGGATATCTGAAACAGGTGGTATAACTAAGCAACTTTAATTATTTTACATTCCTCGTTTTTAAAATAATTTAATTTAAATAGTAGATATAAAATTATAGATTGTATCGTAAAAAAATATGGCAGTAAGGTCATTAAAGAAGGAAAAACCAGAGGAGTGCTTTTGTTTGGACTAAATACCACCCGGATATTCTCTTAGGATCACTTGATAAAATGTACCGACTTGAATATAATCATGCATTTAAGATTTTCAGTTACAATTATATAACTAATAAATGTATTTCAATCATTCAAAAATAACTTGCATTAATAACATATAAACTGAATCATTGTTAAGTATTCTTAAACAGATACAATCAAGATAGCACTAGATTTTTCGACTTAGTTACTGATATAACAGTATTACCAATATTAAAAAAAAATGCAATTGACTTTTATAGTTTGAATTTATGATTAAACCGACTTTCCAAAGCTCGCCAACGTTTCTTTACAACTTTCTATAGTTTTATTAAGACGTTCCACAGTGGCCGAAGTCTGTTTGGAGCTCAGAAGTCGCGTACAGCTGGCTATAGTGGTATGATATCCGCATACGTTATGGAGTATTCTAACTGCGCGGTCTCCGCAAACGAATAAATACTTCCCACTCGGGTCGAAGACCATGTAGTTTATTAAACCTGTAACAAAGCGCATTTGAGCAACACCAACACATATCGACTACGTGCGCCGATTGAGAATGCAAACGATCGATAGTTTTCTTGGACGTACGCGTTCAATAATTCAAAGTTTCAGTCGCCTCGAGCCTGACAAAGCCCGATGAACGCTCACAATAAAACATCAGGAAGAAATAATTCGAAATTTAACGATAAAATTAGATTTTTTTTATTTTTGTACTATTGTGATCATTAAACCGAAATATCAATGGGCAACCGTAGTGCGGTCCAACACTGGATGGGATGAAGACCTGGCAAAAGATTCAAGAAGTCGATAAATGCAGGTAGCTCTGGACCGTGCTCTGTAGCATTCCTTAGGGAGGCCTATGTTCATCAGTGGACTAGTGATGGGCTGTAAAGTCTGTGCAGGTACTAAAAACAAAATGTCCGAACAGGCAAGTCCAGTACCTACTAAGTCGTCATTTGTGTGTGCCGTAAGAGGCGACAGAAGGAAACTAAAACGCTAGATGGGCAGCAGGCAGCAGCGTCCTCCTCATACCCTCACAACTGGAAAATAACACAAGAGTGCAGTTGCCAACCCGCCTGCCAAGCGTGGAACCTTCCTACGAGGCAATCTATTGCAGACATGTTTAGCAGCGGGCTTATATAGGCTGTAACCATAGAATACTATAATACACAATAGAATGGCTGTCAACTTTATTTTGTACGAGGCTTCGTTGTGTGAAAGCCGATTCGTTGTGTTGACAGACTGAATAAATTTACACATTTTAGATTTTTGATTAATGTTCAAGATCATCATTAAAGAAATCATTTAAATTTTAATACATATTTATTTGTAAATAGGGTGCAATTTGGCATTTTTTAAATAATTTACATGCGAAATTTGGAAAGTCAAAACACATCTCGTGTTGACATTTATACGTATGAATCGACGATTTTTACGTGGTAGAGCCATGCTGCAGTTATATTAATAGTATAGTTGTAGCACAAATGGGTCGGCTCAACCGGGGAAGGACCACGCTCTCACAGAATACCAGCGTGAAATAGTAGCTTAATGCTGCTGTATTTCGTATGGTGAGTATAGAGAACCGGAGACCCTTTTTACTGGAAATGAGGCATTCCATCTCAGTCCTCATGGGTGACAACGCATCTGCATTTTGATTTGTAATGGAAGATAGATGTAGATGTCTATGGGCCGCAGCAACCACTTACCATCAGGTAGACTGTGTGCTCGTTTGTCACCCTATTCTATATATATATATATATATATAAAAAAAAAAAAAAAAAAAAATATATATATATAAAAACCGTGTAAGTGGCATTTTAGTGGCCACGCGGGCTCCGCCCACTCCCCCGTTCTATTATGTATGTATTATAGTATTCTATGGCTATAACGGATGAGGCAAGCCCAACTTCGATGTCGTGGTGCCACCATATCCGACGTGGTTGGGCCGCATTATTATTTATTGATTTTTTTGCATTCCGAATGCAAAAATATCAATAAATCATCTTGTTCGATATTCCTCAAAGATACCGTTGCCAGACGTCCGGATAAAGTCGGACACGGTCAGGCTTTTTGGTTGCGTGTCCGGCTTTTGTTAGACTTTTTAAATTTGACCATTTCTTTACATTTTTCCTGTACTTACATACATACTATTGCAATTATTGAAATTAATATTGAATAATTTAAAAGACCGATTTATTCAATTGTTGTTTATTTCGTTAGAACTTAAGAAAATTTTACGGTAAATGATAAAAAACATTGTTTTACTTTAAAACAAATGTCGTTTTACTAAGATAAAAAACTAATGGTGTCCGGCCGCCCTTTTTGCCAAAATGTTCGGCTAAGCTCGCTGGTCTGTGCGGCCTTTCGGTTTTAAGACCTGGCAATCCTACTCAGAGATAATGAAAATTTTTGGAAAATCAAAACGAGAGTTCTTACCCGAGTATATATTCTCGACGGTGTCGTAGTGCTCGCCGGTGAAGGTGTCGTAGAACTCTACAGAGCTGTCAACGGATACTGCCAGTACTTCAGCGTTTGGCGACAGCGCAATATGCGGGGTGTTAGCCGTCTGTGTGTACTTGGCCGTCTTCAGAACATGCGGCGACTCGCCACGTGTGTACTCGACTGTCGAAGTTTTATATAAGGAATCAAAACACAGTTTTGCAATAAATGAGAACACCCAATTTTCATGTATCGCGTGCATGCTACAATGCAGTATGCCGCATACGAAGGTTGTCGCAAGATACATGCAACGAAGCAACAACGTGTGTTATGTGACAACCTACCGCAGAATGCCGTATCTTGTGTTCGATTCGAATGCTATGACTTCTATGCGTTTTTCTGTAAGTTTTGACGTTGGTACAAACTAAGCTTTACCGCGTGCTGCACGGGTAGCAAAATGTTAGCTATTGTAGTATCACGCAACAAAATACGCTTGCTCCCAGGTACACATCCGACTTTTGCTCCGAAGATTAGTTTATTTTTTTACACAAAATACTTTGCTTCCAGATAAGCTTGGTTTACGCTGATGCAACAACATGATACATTGCGGCATGCTACATATTGCGTTGTCTTTTGGTATGCCACAAATGGAAATATTTAAGGCCGAGGCAATATTCATTATATATTTTTGGTCTACTTGATCGAATTGAGGAATAAGGCCGATTAAGTAACTTTAGCACCAGCTTTTTTTAGTACTAGTCCATACAGATAAAAAACCATTAGTTGAAGGAAATGTTAATGGAATATAACTTCTATAATCTTCTATAAAATCTAAATATTTCTAATTTTACAAGTCCATCATCAACATGTCAATAATTATTTTATTTTAAAGAAAAAAAAAGAAAACTTCCCTGAAACTGTTTTGATACATCAAAATGTTGCATGTAATCCATCGGAATCGGACACAAAGTCGCCATTCGGGCAATTTTTTTATATAGAATAAGGGTTACATACGAGCACACAGTCCACCTGATGGCAAGTGGATGATGTGGCCCATAGACATCTATATTTGTTATTAATTAAAATCAAAACACAGATGCCTTGTCCGCCTCTGAGGACTAAGATCTTTAAGAAGCCTCTTTTCCAGTAAAAAAGGGTCTCCGGATCTCCACACTCACCATACGAAACACAGCAGTTTTAAGCTGCTATTTTACGCTGGTATTCTGTGAGAGTACAACCATAATACACCTGCAGCATGGCTCTACCACGCAAGGT